AATTACAAACAACAAAACAAAAAAAGAACCTCGAAATGGTCAAACTTCACTCTTCACCTCTCAAAATAATTTTCTCAAATAATTCTCTCTCTAAACTCGAACACCCCCGATGATGTTTATGCGGAGGCCCCCTCGACTCCGACGACGTGGTACGAGCCTCTCTGTTCTCTCTCTTCACCTCCGGAGGAGAGGTAACCGACGAAAGATCGTTAGGAAGAGAAGGGCAAGGCTCAGAATCACGCGAAGGATCAAACCGGGATCAAGGATCGCCCGGTTCGAGTTTATGCCGACATGATCTATGATCTGTTCCATTTTGGACACGCTCACGCCCTAGAGCAAGCCAAGAAATTGTGAGTGGTTTCCCCTCTGATTTGAGCTCCGATGTGCCCTTTCCCTTTTGGACACGCTCACACCCTAGAGCAGGCCAAGAAATTGTGAGTGGTTTCCCCTCTGATTTGAGCTCCGATGTGCCCTTTCTCTTTTGGAATTTTATGATGTTGTGATGAAAAAAGTGTTGTGCGTAGCGGAATCCGAAACACAATAAACAAACGAGATAGGAGAACAAATCAACAAAAAAAACAAGCGCCACACAAGTAAGATACCAATTTTACGTGGTTTGGCAATGTGCCTACGTCCACGGGGCAAGGATGGGATGGTTTTCACTAATAGAGAGAGAGAGAGAGAGAGTACAAATAGAGATTACAATCACTCAATTTAATCTCACAAACAAAGCTCTCAAATCCTTCACAAATTTTCCCAGACAAAGTGCTCGAAAGTCTCTCTTTTGTGTCCTCGTTGGAAACCCTAAAACATGTTTATATTTATATCAAACACAAAACCCAAACAGATCAGGAAACCGAGCCCAGGCCCAAAACCGCATCGCGGTCGACCGGACTGCTCCTTGCAGTCGACCGGCCAGCAGGCTGAAAACTCAGCCTGCAAAATCAGCAGGGTTTGGTCGACCGGGCTTGAGCTCGCGATCGACCGGCCAGGGAGTCGAAACTTCCCCCTGTTCTATGCATGAATCCGGTCGACCGGGCTTGTCCTCGCGATCGACCAGCCAGCACCCAAATGTTTGCTTCGTTTTTTTCCTGCTCTTTGTCACTGTTTCTACAAAAAGATTGGATTTTTGTTACAGAATTCAGAAAATTGGCTCAATTTAGGGGATTGCTTCTACATTGCGACCTGAGGGAGGGTCACGGGTGGGTTTAGGCTTATATATACCAAATGAACGGGACTATGGCATTGTTAATTGTGGATTAGCATGCCTTAGCTACACGAGACTAGTATTCCTGTATAGTTCGAAAAAACTGCTACAACAAAATCGATTCTTTTCATCTGAGTTGTGATGAAAATAGTCTATTTTGCTGGAGGTTTTTTGTGAGAATATCGATTTTGCTCATTAATTTTACAAAAGGATTAATGTTTTCAAAATTTTGTCTTGTTCCATGGTAGTAGTCTATAGCATAACAACTTTCTCCACCTCAGACATTCTGAACTCTTTAGTTAGTAATTTCATAATCTAGTACGACCACAACTATAATTATTGTTGTACGATAAAGACAAGTGGACCACGCATTTTTTTTTTTTGTTCACAATGTCAAACTTCCAATTGTCTCGTTAACGAAATTTATGACTGTACTAATTCTAGATTTGGCAAGAAAGACTAGTCTCCCACTCTAACCCAAGCACAAGAAGCCCCACCACGTGTACAGATTAATTAGGAAACTTTGGATACACTCTTGGAAACTGATCACCTCATAAATCACAATCTTCTGTTTACACATTAAAATTATTCATTGTTGGATATTGGAATAATCGTAACTGTTTGCTAAATAATAAACGATTATCATCGCATAACTGGGAAATAACTTTTCATCTTACTCTATTCTAAATTCGAAAAAAAAATCGGAGAGCGAGCTTTGCTACAGGGACCCAAAATATGGGGCTAATAAGGGGGACAAGTGAGGTGACCCCCTCCTATTGGATAATGAGTTGTCCATCATTAATGATGTCCAACTCATTATCCAGTAGGAAAGTGACACCTCATTTGTCCCCTCCATTGGTCCTATATTTTGGGTCCTTGAAATTTTTTTCAAGGAGAGCAATGTGATATTTCGAGAATTTTCAACAACAACAACTTCACCATCCATGTTAAACCCACTGAAACGTGACAAAAACAAGCAAACAAGATTACGCAGTCTTCTCAAAAACATTTTCGCTTCTCCGATTTGATGTCTAACGCACACAAACGCTGACCTTACTCAAAAAAAGTTTCCGTCATCCTATATCGACACACTACACGTCTCCTGCCGAAAACCTATAAATGCTCCTCCATCGTATCTCAATTAGTAATGCACTGAAAAAACAAGAACAAAAAATGGCTCTCACTTCTTCTCTCCTCCCCCTCCTCCTCCTCCTCCTACTAACGCTCTCCTCCTCCGCCGTCGCCGGAAAATGCAATAAAGACGACAAGGAGGCCCTCGTCGCGATCAACGCCCACTTCGGCTTCCCTCCGCGTGTTCGCCGACGACAAGCTCAACGGCACCCTCCCCTCCGCAATCGCTGACCTCCCCTTCCTCCAAACCCTCCTCTTCCACAAGCTCCCCAACCTCGTCGGCGGCATCCCCCCCTCCTTCACAAAGCTCAGGAAGCTCTCCATCCTCCTTCTCAGCTCGAACTCTCTCTCCGGCCCGGTCCCGTCCTTCCTCTCCCAAATCCAATCTCTCACCGACCTCGACCTCTCCTTCAACAAGTTCTCCGGCTCGATCCCCCCCTCGCTGTCCAACCTCCCCAACCTCCTGGCCCTCCACCTCGACCGCAACATGCTCACCGGGACCATCCCAGACGAATTCGGAAAGTTCCCGACAGACTCGCCGCCGGACCTGTACTTGTCCCACAACAGCCTCTCCGGTCCGATCCCAGCCTCGCTAGGCGATCCGAAGTGGGGGGTAATCGACCTGTCGAGGAATGAGCTCACCGGCGACGCGTCGGTGCTGTTCGGAGCGGCGAAGCCGACCACGCAGATCGACATATCAAGGAACCGTTTCGGGTTCGACTTGACCGGAGTGACTTTCCCGGTGAACTCGACGGCATTGGATATGAACCATAACATGATATACGGTGAGATTCCGGCACAGATTAATGCGGTGGGTGGGCTCGTGCTGTTCAACGTGAGCTACAACAGGCTGTGTGGGGAAATACCCAGTGGGAGCGTGACGGCGAAGTTCGATGAGTACTCTTACCTGCATAACAAGTGCTTGTGTGGTGCTCCCTTGCCCGCGTGCAAGTCAGACTGAGGGGTGTTTAATGTTAAACCGCCGCATTTTAAGTCATAATTATTATTAGTGGCTTTGTACGTACGAAGAATAAGTGGCTACCTACAATATTTGTATGCTTGATTAGCCATAATCATTTGCTAAATAATAAACTGTTTTTGCTGTAAAACACTGAAGACTGAAAAGTCTTAAAACTTAGCTTGTGAGCGCGACATGTGAATATTAGCTCAATATTCTCAATTTTGCATCGTGCGCTAAGAAGATAGCGAAAGTGCTAATTTCAGAAATTTCAAGGGCGGACTTGAGAGCAAAGGTATGTAAGTGCAAACTAGTACAACTTATAATGTAGGGCTCTCCCTAAACATTACTTTGTCAAATCTGCAACTATTTCATACTAGTTCCTTAATCTCTCAAATCGGAAAGTGTAATGAACGATAAATTTTTAATACGGGTTTAAATAATTTTTCTGATATTTAAATATTAAAATTTATTTTTAAAAGAGTATTCGTATTTTTCCCGATTTTCTAGAATTTTCTATGATTTAAAATCTAAATTTTATATTTATTTTAATGGTTTTGATAATTATAAATTTAGTTGTTACGGTGAAAACTTTTTAAACTAATATTTTGTTATTTATTATTGCTATTATTATTATTTGTATTATTAATTATCTTGTATTAATATTTTTAGTTTGCACCCCTTATCCCCTACCGCAATTTGTAGCTGTCACGTGATCAGCACGACAGTTAATTTGTTATTGATTTTGTCCCTGTATTTTCCTCTCCAATCAGTCTCTCTCTCTCTCCCCTACCCCACGCCCCTAAAACCCTCCTCAAAACCCGCTCCCTCTCAAATCGTGTCCCCTCTCCCTCTTTCTCCTCTATTATTTCCTTAGATCTTGTTTGGATTGAGGGGAATGAGGGTGAAGGGAAGTTAGGGGAACCATTCACCTCCATTCATCTTGTTTGGGAACACTTAGGAGGTGAAGTTAATTCACCTCCATTCACCTTGGTTCACCCCCTAATAGTATAAAAATTGTTACCCCCCAAATTGGGGTGTAACCAAGGGGAAGAGAATTCCCTTCTCTTCCCTTCCTTTCCATTCCCTTCCCTTTACTCAGTTTTCCTTAACTTCCCTTCATCCCCTACGAATCCAAACAAGCCCTTAGGGGCTGTTCGTTTCGCTAAAAAATTTGGGAAATCAAAGAATAGGAAACCTATTTCCTGTAATAATTGTTTTGAGGTTGTTTGGTTGGTTTAAAAAGGAAAGGAAATTATATAATAGGAGATGAGATGACATGAGTTGTCACCTTATTATTGGATGATGTGAATGATTTAATGTTAAACCGCCACATTTTAAGTCATAATTATTAGTGGCTTTGTACGTACGAAGAATAAGTGGCTCCCCACAATATTTGTATGCTTGATTAGCCATAATCATTTGCTAAATAATAAACTATTTTATCTGTAAAACACTGAGGACTGAAAAGTCTTAAAACTTAGCTTGTGAGCGTGACATGTGAATATTAGCTAAATATTCTCAATTTTGCATTGTGCGCTAAGAAGATAGTGAAAGGACCTTAAGGTTTTTGAAAAGATCAGCAACAGATCAGGGGACAAGTGATGTGTCCCCCTCCTATTGGATAATGAGTTGTCTATCATTAATGATGTCCAACTCATTATCCAGTAGAAGAGTGACACCTCATTTGTCACTGTCGCGCGCCTATGCGGAAGCGTTGCACGCACACGTGTACACAACGACGCACACACAACGAACTTGAGATCACGGAAGAAGAAAGCCACACACTTGCACAAACCAAGCCAATTACGACAAATCAAACCAAACACAAAGATATACGTGGTTCGGCAATTGCCTACGTCCACGGGGAGAGGATAGAAAGATTTTACTATATGGAGGAGAAATACAACGGGTTATAACTCATAAAATCACTCAAATATAACCCTAACTAAAGCTCTCAACTCCCTCACAATATCTCCCTCTCAAAGTGCTCAAAACAATATAATTCTCTCCTTTTTTTCTCGTTTAGAAACCCTAAAAAACGTGGTCCTATTTATAATAAAACACAATCCTAAACAAAGGAGGGTTCCCAAACAAAGGAGGATTCTAAAAACGAGTCTGCCACACCCTGCACCATGGGTGTGGCAGATGGTGTGGTGCAGGACAGATTCTGCCACACCCTGCACCGTGGGTGTGGCAGAGGGTGTGGTGCAGGACAGATTCTACCACACCCATGGCAGACACCACACCAGGGTGTGGTGGAGTCTGTTTTGGGTTATTCTTCACGTTTTTCACAATTCCTTCGCCGTTTTCACAATTCTCCACCTCGGCGAAGTGTTCCCGACACTGAGCCGACACCAACATGAGCACCAATGTGTCGTCTCTCTAAACTCAGCTGCACCAATGTGGTTGCCTACGTACCCCCTCTCGCAAGGGATCAAGCCGTCCGTAGTTCATCCAAATGGTCGTCAACGACCTCAACAATCACGAATGTACAACAAGTTTTTACAATGATCAAACTTGTAGCTCGGAACCACCTTAGTGAGCATATCCGCTGGATTATCCTTTGTGTGGACTTTCACAATCTCCACATCACCATCTTCAAGAACATCCCGAACGAAGTGATAACGAACATCAATGTGCTTCGTCCTCGCATGAAAAACCTGATTCTTCATCAAATAGATAGCACTCATGCTATCACAATGAATGGTGACGGACCGCTGCGATATACCAAGTTCCTCCAAAAGTCCTCGAAGCCAAATAGCCTCCTTCACAGCCTCCGTAACCGCCATATACTCTGCCTCCGTCGTAGGCAAAGCCACCGTAGACTGTAAGGTGCATCTCCAACACACTGGCGCACGGGTCAAAGTAAACACATATCCTGTAGTAGACCGATGCTTATCCAAATCCCTGGTATAATCCGAATCAACATATCAAATGCACAACTGCCCACCTGTAGTGTCCTGCTCATAAACCAAACCAACATTGAGCGTACCTCGAATGTACCTCAAAATCCATCTCACGGCGTCTCAATGACCCACTCCTGGATCGTGCATGTATCTCGACACCATGCTCACCGCCTGTGATAAATCCGGCCTCGTACATACCATCGCGTACATCAAGCTCCCAACTGCGCTCGCATATGGAGTCTTCATCATTAACTAACGGTCTTCAACTGACTTCGGTGAAAGGCCAGCTGAAAGCTTCAAATGGGCTCCCAAAGGTACACCAACTGGCTTTGTATCCATGCTAACATGGAATCACTGTAGAACCTTCTTCAAATAAGCCACATGTGTCAAACAAATCTTGCCCTTCTTCTTGTTTCTGCCGATCTCCATCCCTAAAATGCGCTTCGCCTCGCCCAAGTCCTTCATCTCAAACTCATTCGAAAGCTAAACTTTCAACTCATCTATAGCTGACCTGGAACTAGAGGCAACCAACATGTCATCGACATAAAGCAACAAATAAATGTACGCACCTCCTCTCAACTTGTGAAAATACACGCAAGGATCAAACTGGCTCCGAGTGTATGAATGACCAAGCATAAAACCATCGAATTGCCTACACCACTGTTGAGGAGATTGCTTCAAACCATATAGCGATTTCTTTAACCTGCAAACCAACTTATCTTTCCCTGCAGCTCGCTTCAAACCATATAGCGATTTCTTTAACCTGCAAACCAACTTATCTTTCCCTGCAGCTCGGAATCCCAATGGCTGAGTCATATATATTTCTTTATCAAGATCACCATGAAGAAATACTGTCTTCACATCCAACTGATCTAACTCTAATTCATACTGTGCCACCAAAGTTAGCAGAATCCGAATCAAAGAATGCTTCACCACCGGAGAGAAAACCTCATTGTAATCAATACCTTCCTCCTGTGCATAGCCCTTCGCAACCAACCTAGCCTTGAACCTCACTGGAGTGCCCTCAATGCCCTCCTTCTTCGTGTACACCCACTTGCACCCAATCGCCTTCCGCCCCTTTGAAAGCTCAACAAGCTCCCATGTATCGTTCTTATGAAGGGACTCCATCTCCTCCTGCATAGCCACCTGCCACGAATCAGCCTCCGAACTCTGCTCGGCCTCTCTGAATGTAGTAGGCACCATCTCATCGATACTCTCCACCGGAAGTGCATATGTAACTGTGTCGGCATACCGTGCTGGCACCCGTATGTCTCTCCTCTGTCTCCGAACCGTAATAGAATCCTGAACCTGAGCCATCGGTCCCTGATCCTGCTCATGAGTACCCGTATCCTCCGCAACACCGTCGTGCTCGCCTGGCGTCACCTCAGTCGGCACTCTAATGGATACTGCACCATCTGGACTTTGTGGAGCTGCATCAATCTCCACCACCTGCAATATCTCCTCTGTCGGGTCGTTCTCCACCTGATGAGAGCTGGGAAGCTTCAAGATAGAAGCTTCATCGAATGTGACGTCCCTACTTAGCACAATCTTCTTATCAACTGGATCCCAAAGCTTGTATCCCTTGACACCACGCTTGAATCCTACAAATATGGCCTTCCTAGCTCGAGGTTCCAACTTATCAGTTTTAACATGATAATATGCAGGGCAACCAAATACCTTAAGCTGGTCATAGTCATGTGCTGTCTCTCCCGACCACATCTCCATAGGGGTCTTCCCCTCAATCGCAGATGAAGGCAGCCTGTTAATGAGGTGGCTCGCATAAGAAAGTGCCTCAGCCCAAAAGATCTTCTCCAAACCACTCTGCGACAATAAGCATCGGATCTTCTCCAGTAAAGACCGATTCAACCTCTCTGCCACCCCATTTTGCTGCGGTGTATGACTAACCGTGAAGTGCCTTTCTATGCCCTCGTCTCGACATAGCTGCAGAAAGGGGTCTGAGGTATACTCGCCGCCGTTGTCGGATCGCAACGTCTTGATCTTTCTCTCAGTCTGCAGTTCTAATCTCTTCTTCCACTCCACAAACAAATCTAGGACTTCACTCTTATGCTTCATGGTGTACACCCAACATCGCCTAGAATAGTCATCAACGAACGTGACGAACCAATGTCGACCACCAAGTGATGTCGTCTTGGTGGGACCCCAAACATCTGTGTGCACGTAGTCCAAGATGACCCTCATCCTATGAATGGCCATCCTGAACTTCACCTTTGTCTTCTTGCCAAG